TCCAGTTTTGAACATAGTTTTTGCCAGCTTCCTAATGTCCCAGGAGGCAATGACAAGCCAGGGCCTTCTACTACCTGTGTCTGGTGGCTTGTGCAGCCTGAGGAAAATTCTGTGCTCAAGTTAAAACACAGAGGCCTCCCAGGAACAGGGTGGGGGTCAGAGAATGACCACAGAGGTCCAATGTCCAGCCTGACTTGTCGGACCCCCTGCTGGCCTGGGTATAGGGTTGTAGAAGGGGTAGGGAGGGACCACTTGCTTCACTTTGTCAAACAGAGAGAAGATGTCTTTAAGAAGGAAAGGAGTTCATTCACAGCCTATGTCAAGCTGGGGACCTCACTAGGGTGTCTGCAGGCCTCAAACCCTGTGCCACAGCCCCTCCCACTCAGTCCTTCAGCATCAGATACAGCTTAGAAGACCATTTGGGGTGGGGGGTGGGTGGCATAGGGATCCCACAGAAATGCCCAACAGGCATTGCAGGCAGGGAATCAGCCTTATTCATATCTGGCACACTATAGGATATCAAAGACTGTATGGAGAATGAATGGAAGAGTCAGCACTTTAGACGTGAAAAAAATATTTATTTAATGAACACTTAGGTTTGCCATGTGCCAGTCATGTGTTTTACATATACAACTCCCTTAATCCTGGTGAGATGCCTATGAGTCAATACTATTATCCTCATTTTAGAGATGAGGAACCTGAAGTACAGAGAGGTTAAGTAACTTGCTGAAGGTCACACAGCTGGTAAGGGGCAGAGCTGGGTAGAAGAAACTAGTATAGCCTGGCCCTAGAGTCCATGATATCATCCCTGAGGCTATGCAGTGTCTCTGGGTTGTGAGGCATTACTCCTTGAAGGAAATGGCCTGTGTTTCAAATCATCTGCCTCACCTGCATCATGAGGACATTCCCACTTCTCAAACCAAGTCTTTCAGTACATCCTGCCCAGGGTATCTGACATATTCCTCACCCTCTTCCCTGCCCCACCCCCAACACTGGCCCTGAGACCCTGTGGGAGGAAAAGAGAAGGGGCTAGGTGCCTGGGAGGGCTGCAGGAGTTTGGAACCTTTGGGATTGGTGACACTGATGGAGGCACCCTAATTCTGAAGTTGGAGCAGGGTCCTGGAAGCCAGAGTTCAGAACTGGGCACTGGCAAGAGAGAATTATCCAGGAAACTTAGGTTTCCCTCCAGGTTGAGGGTCCAGTTCTCCAGGGCCTTGAGACTGTTGTGTGTCTAGAAAACCTAAGTGTGGCAGAGGTGAACCCCGAAAGGTGAGAAATACCAGGGAAGTGCTCATTGCCCAAGTAGGTGTAATCTTGCAAGGGCATGAGCTGACCACGCAGCCTTGGCTCCGGGCACCTCTTAGGCAATGGTCAGGAAGTGACTCAGGCCTCAGGCTCTGCTGACACTGACCCCCACCTCGGGCCTCTGCTGGGCCTGTGTTTACTCAGTAGTAAGGCAGCCTTGGAGAGAAGGATCCAGTCAGGGAAGTCACAAATGGGAGAGGAAGAGGGCAGAGTCCCTGAGGATGTCCTGGCTGTGCCCCTCCCCTAACCCCTGGGGCTCTTTTCTCCTTGAGCTCCAAGGTCCCTCTGCTCTGCTCTGCTCCTCCAGACACTGGCTCTAGGTCATATGTTGGTTTCTGTCCTATTAATGCAGCAGTATGTTAGGAAACCAGCTTTGGAATGACACCTGATTTCCATCCCGGCTCTGCACTACTAGCTATGTGGCCTGGGCCAAGTTCCTCCCTCCCCTCCCTGAGTTTCAGCATCCTCCTTGTAAAATGGAAGTGATATTAAAGCATGACAAATATATTTAAAGAGTCCTGGGGGTGTATCATTCCAAGTGTAGTATAACAGCAACCCAGTGAGGTAGGGACCGGTCATGTCTCCCACCAAAGATCACCAGAAACGTGTCTGTGGGTGGACAAGCTGGGTTTACGGTTTGTCGCAGCAAGAGAACACACGCGCCGTGGAAATCGTAAGGCGTCTCAGTAAGAAGGTGTTAAAAAAGGACTTGTAAGGTTTGGGCCTGTGTTAGGCGATGGTGGAGGGTTTATGGAAGAAGGACTTTGTTCTGATTAGATGCTGTTAGGATGAGGAGGTGATATCTGAACAAATCTTACCTAGAAGGAGGGCCAACTATCAACAGAATGAAGAGAGAGCTGTAAGCAGCTTTCACTCAGATTAGCTAGATCATTTTCATGGTTTGGACAATATTCACGTTTTGTCTGTGTTCAGACATGATTACGTAGTGGTCTTGTTTTTGTCTTGATCCATTGTGGNGCCTGTTCAAGATGGTGGGCTACACCCGCCCACAACTAAGACTAACTTGGCACCTTGAGCTGAGCTGCCACCTGGATGGCTCAGCAGATAGAGCACGCGCTCTTAACAACAAGGCTGCTGGTTCGACTCCCGCATGGGATGATGGCTACGCCCACCCACAACTAAGATTGTAACACAGCACCTTGAGCTTAGAGGCCACGAGCTGCTGATGGGCAGCCAGATGGTGACTGGAGCCCTTCACAACTAAGATTGAAGAACAACAACTTGGCTGGTCCCCCTCCCCAATTCCCCAATTTAAAAAAAAGGGGAAAAAAATGAAAAAGAAGAGATTCAAGTAAGAAAGTATTTGCTGTAGGAATGAATCCCTGGATGGAGTTTGGCTTTTCCAGCAAAGGATACAATCTTTCCCCTTGAACAGGGTTTTCCCTGTCAGCATCTCTGCCATGATACAGCCCACAGACCAGATGTCCACTGCCGAGGAGGGGAGGAAGTGTCACCTGGACCCCTGACCACGACCCCGTGATCAGTTAACCCAAAGTAACCAAGATGGCCTTGGGGGAGCTGCCAGAGAAGACCCAGCCCCGCGCCCTCCCCCAGGCAGCTGCCACTGACCAGTCTGGTTGTAGTGCATCCAGCTGAGGATCACCTCGGGGGCCCGGTACCAGCGGGTCACCACATAGCCAGTCATCTCGGCGTCTGCAAGCCGTGCCAGCCCAAAATCCAAGATCTACCACTCAGGGGACATAGGGAAGCTCACTGAGGAGAGGAGGCCCTTGGAACAGCTTTGGGGGTCCTTATGCGGGAGAGGGGCCCACCCCAACCCCTCACTGACCCCACCTGGGCCCACTCACCTTCAGCTCACAGTCCTCGTTCACAGCGAGGTTGCCTGGCTTCAGGTCCTAGATGAGAGGAGAGAGTGAGCACCGGCCTGAGAAGCAGAGATGGAAGCTTGTCTGACTTGGCCACCGCCCAGCACGCCACCTCGCCAGGCCCCTTCCCTTTTCTGGGCTTCGGTCTCTTCAGGCGTAAAACGAGGCTTGGACAAGGTGTCCGGTAGGGCCCATCCAGCTCCAAAATGCTCCTGATGCTTGAGGTCTGCCTGAAACACCCAGCTCTGGGCTTGCCTTGTTTGCAGCATTTCCCCCCAAAAGTTCCCCAGAGCACAGCAATTCTTTTGGGGCAGGCTTTCCTGGGCTAAGGCTGGGCCTGAAAAATCCTCATCCCATGTCCAAGAGGATTGATTGTCCCCTCCCTCCACCTTTCCCCCTCCCTGACTGGGGAGAACCCCTCCAGGACTGGGAGGGGCTGTAGCAGGCAAAACACTCACCCTGTGGATGACCCCAGCTGAGTGGATGTACTGTGTGGGAGAGAGAAGGGTAGGTGCTGTGTCCGGCTGCCACACCAGGCATTTCATGCTGCCTTTGAAACCTCTTCCGCCCTGTCACAGTGTGCTCACCCAGTCCCCAAGGCCTGGCCTCCCCCAAACCTTAATGCTAAGGCTCCCCGCTCCCACCATCCTCCAGTGCCCCACCCACCTTAAGACCCTTGAGCATCTGATACACCAGGTACTGGATCTTGTCCTCACTGAATTCCATCCCCATGATCTTCTGTAGGTCTGTCTGCATGAAGGGCATCACCAGGTAGCTGCAAGGCACAAGGGCTCTGTGAACAGTCCCAAGTCCCACCCAGCCCCGGGTCTGAGCTCAGAAGAGGGGCAAGGAGCTGGGGCAGAACAGGGGCCTTAGGGATGACTTCCATGTGTGAGAAGAACCAGCCTAACCACAGCCAGCCAGACCCCACACAGGCCTCCTGGCTCCTGGCACCTGGCCTGGTCACAGTTGCTTCCCAGCTGGTGGAGCTCAGGGTGAGCATTTCAGCCAGAGCATGCTAAAGAAAACCAAATGGAGCTGTGTTCCCTCTCCTCAAAGGTGCCCTCTCCTTGCCCTCCGCCACGCCCCACAGGAAGCCAGAGCTGTGAGTTAGAAACATCTGCCAGTGTTTCCATCTGCTTCTGCCCAAACCTTCTCTGCCCTAGGGGGTCATGCCCCACTGAGATGGCTCCAGAAACAACCAAAAATGTCAGCCCTTCCAAGAAGGAAACAATAGAACAATTTCCAGGAGGGTGGAAGAAGAAAAAAGGAAGTGGCTAAGCCACGGCTCCCTCCTCTGGGATTGCAAAACAAGCCAAGGTTAGCAAAATGTAATCGTTGCTACTCAAGATAGTACCAGCAAAGTCCAGAATAAAAAATGATAAAGACTGAAAAAAGGAATGTTAAAAAAAGAAAAATGTGGTGGAGGCCATCTCCATGAGGCTGTGACTTTTTAAAGCCTTCTTCTGCCTGACCACACCCACTCCATCTGACCACACCCCCTCCATCTGACCACACCCCCTCCGCCTGGGAGCCCTGCTCCAGGCATACTCCTCTCCTGGCCTTTATCTTTCACCTCTGTGTGGACCCTGCTTTTTCTTCTTGGCTCACAAACTTACTGAAGTCTCACTGTGCTAGAATCACCTTCCTTTGATCTTGTTTCTCAAGGAACCACCCCTTCTCCCTCTTTCTCTCCCCATCAAACTTCTAAAAAGAGCAGTCCACACCTCTTGACCCCACTGCTTTAATTCCCAGGCCTCTGACACCCTGGTATCTGCTCCCGCCCCACCACCAAAGCTGCTCGGATCAAGGTCACCAAAATGGCCCAACACACACAGCCCTGGCTCCCTCTCTTCCCATGACCTTTCACAAAGTTTGACACTCCCTCAAGAGTCTCTGCAGGTTTTCCTCTACCTCTGATCACGCACTCTCAGCTCATCTGCTCAGCCTCTTGGACCCTTCTCTTTAAGGTTGATAGCTTAATCAACAGTATTGTGTCACGTTCCACACCAGCCTGTTCCTGGGCTTCGGTGATTATTCTGACCCAAATCCACACCCCCAGCCCAAACCTTCCTCTCCTGAGCTCCAGATTTATCTGCAACTGCTGGTTAAACACTTGACTGTTCACAGGCTCTTCAAAGTGAAGTGTCCAAAACAGAGTTCATTACCTTTCTCCCAAAATCTGTTCTTCCTCCACCTTGCATTCCAAGCAGGAACCTGATATCCCCCAACCTATNTTTAATCCTCTTAAGAGTCCTATGAGATGGGTTAATAATGTCCTCCATTTGATGTATGGCCAACACGAGGCACAGAGAGGTGAAGTGATTTGCCCAAGGTCACACAGCTGGTAAATGGCAGAGCCGGAATTCAAGCCCAGGCAGTCTGTGCTGGTGACCACTGCAGAATCAGTGCTGGTGACCATCAGGCTGCACTGGATAGCGCCCGCGAAGGGCCAGCCTTTGCCTTTTAGGAATCTGAATTTCCTTCTGATGGTGCCTCCATTATTTGGCCACACACTTATTTTTCTAACGGTTCCATGTGGCTTTCCTCAACAAGAATCTCCCTTTCTGCTCTTCTCTAAATCTAATAACTGTGTCTCCCTTGCTTCCAGAAGGAAATAGTCAGTGGTGTGCTGGAATGGGGAGCCCTAATGCATAGTGTCGGTCAATTTCTGTGGTGTAAAAACTCCCACCATGGCCAAGTTCAAGCTACCAACCTGATGTCACTGAACGTGGAGTTGAGAAGAAAATCAGCTCTCAAGAGCCACAACGAAGACTCCAGCACACCCCTGTTAGCCCAAGCAAAGGTGTGGCAACTGGGAGGAGTAAGGCACCACTCAGGGACAAACCACCAGCTGGTCCTCTGGGCTGGGGACTGTGCTCTTCCCGCCTCACAGGCCCTCCCTGGTCTTCACTCCCTCACACTTCCCTGAGGCCACCCTTCCTCCTCTCAGGGGATCAGGCTTTGGCCACCTGGAGAGAGCAGTACAGCTCAGGTGTGACAGCAGCCCAGCTGTGATTAACCTCCTGGTTAGAGCAGTCTTTCCTCCATGGCAGTCCCCACCCATCAGCTCCAGGTTGCCTCCAGGATGAAGTTTAAACTTCTTGGCCTGTTGGACAAGGCTTGCTCCCATCCCGGCCCTGCCTTTCTTGCTAATCGGATCCTTCACAGCGGCTCTGCACAAACGACCTCCGACCTCCGTTCTAACCATCTCACAAACATCCTTCCTCATCCCTGTCACCACACCTTTGCTTGATCTGGAATGCCATTCGTCTGCTTTGCCAAGTATGGGAGGACCCTCGTGCCTCAAACCTGGCTCAGGAGCACTTCCGGCTGACTCTGCCAGACCACTCCCACCCAAGTGCCCTCCCCCTCCTCTGACTCCTTCCTGCAGGACTTAATGGCACAGCTGGCCCTTAGACTTGAACTGTCAGTTACCTTTCAAACAAAACTGAACCGTAAGTTTCTTGAGGGCGTGAGTGTGTTATTTCTCTCTGTCCTCTGTACCTACTTAGCAACGCATTGTAAAGCCTTAATCCATTAAACCTAATTTTGCTGAGCACTTATCAGGACATTAAGGATACATGGACAAATGTCACGGTCCCTGTCCTCAACAAGCTCATACCCTAGTGAGGGAGGCAGAGCCAAAAAGGAAAACACTCACTGTAACCTGCAGGCGGAGTGCAAATTGGTATAAGGTTTTAGGACCGTTAGGCAATATGTTATCAAAATGGNGGGGCCATCATGAGGACTAAAATAAATGACATGAGAGGTGCCTAATTCATGCCTGGCTCTTAGTAGGTGCTCACTCGATGCCCCTTCCCCAGTGTTGTCCAGCTTTGCCTCCCCAGCCCAAGTGTGTGCCAGGGAAGGGCTGTCTGAGGAGGCAGCTTCTGAGCAACACCTGAATGGACAAAGCAGTGAGCTGTGCGGGCCTCCGGGGGAGGAGCAAGTGTCTGCCTCCCAAACTTTTCCACTCTGTTGCCACCTCTGACCCTGCCCTCCAGCCTCCTTCCTCCCGTGCCATCCTTTCCCCTCACCCCCTGCAGTCTCTGGTACGTCCCTCAGGGAACCCAGCTCACAACACTTGGGGGCAGCTTACTGGTCTCTGGCTTACTGGGCCATCTTCCCCCAGTACCTCTTCCCCTGCTAGGGGACTGAGGATGGCCAGCCGTCTCAGGGCCTGAGCAGAACATCCATCCCAAGAACAAAATATCAGGCTCCTCCACCTCACAGGCACCCCTCACCTCTATGAGCCTTTCCCTCGGTCTCCCAGCCCCTTCCTTTGGCCTTGTCTGCTCTCCCTGCCCTCAGCTTTAGCACTCCCCTGATGGAGGACAGGGGTTAGGGACAGCTGTGCTGGAGTTGCACTCCTCAGCCAGCCTTGCTGGGCCCCAGAAGGTAGGCTACCCCTCTTCACACTATCCACCGGCCTCGTCCCCACTCCCCCTGCACTCCACCTAAAGACTTCTGTCCCTTCACCCAGCCTGTGAAGATGTGGCCTGGGGTGGGTCTGGTGGGACACCCCAGTGATGCCTCTGCTCCATTTGATCTCTGCATTGTCCTTGGTAGCATTCATCACAATTTTAATTAATCCATTGTCCTCTGTGACATGTCCCTCT